AATTAAGATAAGTGTCGTATATCGTAAGATACATTGCTGCTTCCATGTTAAACGTTCTAGAGGCACGGAACTTGGGCGTTTCTAAAATAACGGGTATAACATAAATATTATGTCGTTTATAATGTTGCAAAAGTTTGAAAAATCTCAAAGAAAGTTTATTTTAATTCTATACTGCGACCCAGTATTCTGAAAAAGCTGTACAGTATTCCTGCATTGTCTTTACTAAAGGAAGAACTTTTTATTATAATAGGAAAACAAATCTACCAAAAGACAGAGAACATAAACGACATATTATTAAGAACATGCATATCATAATAAACTAAATTATGAAAAAAAAACTTTTTTACAAAAAAAGTTACATTTATTTAAATCTTGTATTATAAATCATAATGCAGCGACTACAGTTCTATTGTACTGCTGTTTTTAAGCATCTTTACTATGCAAATCCCTTTAGGACATCCAAAAACTTTTACATACTAAACCAAAAACTAAAAAATAATTTACTTTTTAATGTACGAATATTAAATTTAATAGGATCAGTTTGTTCCATACGAATGGTTTTACCACCCCAGCGAGATCAAGTGGATTTACGAGCCCCGTTTTGAGATACAAGGTTCTAGGCGTTTTAATGCTCTATAAACTGATTTATCACTTAAACGATAGCGCGACAAAGAGCAGGGAGACAATACGAGGTGACAGTGTGACACGGCGTATAAAATTAGAGATCGCACCCGATCACTGTCACGCTTACAATGCCAGTGTTACAAGGAAAATACCGTATTTTGTGGTATTATAAAGAGAAATATAAAAGAAAAATTAAGATAAGTGTCTTATATCGTAAGATACATTGATGCTTCTATGTTTAACGTTTTAGAGGCACGAAACTTGTGCGTTTCTAAAACAATTGGTATAAAATAAATATCGTGTCGTTTATAATGTTGCAAAAGATCTCATAGAAAGTTTATTTGAATTCTATACTGCGACTCAGTATTCTGAAAAAGCTGTACAGTATCCCTGCATTGTCTTTACTAAAGGAAGAACTTTTTATTATAATAGGAAAACAAATCTACCAAAAGACAGAGAACATAAACGACATATTATTAAGAACATGCATATCATAATAAACTAAATTATGAAAAAAAATTACAAAAAAGTTACATTTATCTAAATCTTGTATTATAAATCATAATGCGGCGACTACAGCTCTATTGTACTGCTGTTCAGAAGCGTCTTTACTACGCAAATCCCTTTAGGATATCTAAAAATTTTATATACTAAACCAAAAACTAAAAAATAATTTACTTTTTAATGTACGAATATTAAATTTAATAGGATCAGTTCGTTCCATATGAATTGTTGTACCACCCCAGCAAGATCAAGTGGATTTACGACACACGTTTTGAGATACAAGGGTCTAGACGTTTTAATGCTCCATAAACTGATTTATCACTTAAACGATACCGCGAAAAAGGGCAGGGAGACAATACGAGGTGACAGTGTGACACGGGGTATAAAATTAGAGATAGCACCCGACCACTGTCACGCTTACAACGCGAGTATTACAAGGAAAATACCGTATTCTCTGGTAATATAAAGAGAAATATAAAAGAAAAATTAAGATAAGTGTAGTATATCGTGAGATACATTGCTGCTTCAATGTTAAACGTTCTAGAGGCACGGAACTTGGACGTTTCTTAAACAATGGGTATAACATAAATATTATGTCGTTTATAGTGTTGCAAAAGTATAAAAAATCTCATAGAAAGTGTATTCAAAGTCTATACTTCGACTCAGTCAGTGTTTTGAAAAAGCTCTACAATATCCCTATATCTTCACAAAAGAACTTGTCATAATGACAACTCAAATCAACCAAAAAAAGAGAACCTAAACGACATATTATTAAGAAGATGCATATCATAATAATCTAAATTATGAAAAAAAAAACTTTTTTTAAGATTCAGTTTTAAAGCGTGTATTTTTTTATTTTGTCCAGTAGCCTATGACTTTAAACGTCAAGCGACGTAAAACAATGTATCTGACCATATCATATTGTGACACTTTGTTAAAAAAATCAGTATGTCATCGATCGTCATTTCCAAGCGAACGTTGCGCCGTTTTTTTCGGTTATACGGTATATTATTAATAATATCAACATTAGGTATCACTAAAGAGCAACAATACGAAATATTTTATTATAAATAAACTTTATAAAGTTTTAAGCAGCAGTATTTATAAGATACGATATTCAAGTAATTAGTATTCTGACAGAAGGAAATAAATTGTCTGATTGTTTGACATTTAATGTTAAAGGAAGCTAGATAAAATAAAATATAGGTTTTAAAACTAAATCTTAAATAACTTAAAAACGATCTACTTTAGGTATAGGAACATGTATAATCAAAAAGTAACAAATTGAGATACATTTTCACTAGTGAAACAAAAAAGTGGGTGTTCATTTGAAAAAAATGATTGATGATAATTTTTTAATCGGTCAATTCCATGACAGCTTTGACCAATATTAAATGACATTCGAACAATTTAATTTTTGAAATAAATAGCCACATGTTTTCTCTTTATGCCCCAGTGACTGTGGCAATCACTAATTTTGACGTTTAGGCTTTACAAATTTTTTCGACAGGCAATTTTTTCCTCCAAACATTTTAAATATTTTTTTTTCTCAAAAACGGTTAATGTTAGACATCAGATGTGCTTGACATCAAAATTCATAATATTTTACAGAGAATTTAGGTATGTAATAAAAAGCGGGGGTACCCATTTAAAATAAGAAATTTGGTGTCAACTTCCGGTATTTCAGGAAGTGCCACCATATTGAAAATGTTTTTAATCGATAGATCTCGTTGTGAAACACTAATGTGCAAAAAATCTCCGATCTAGATATTGTAGTTCTCTAGAAACTTCTAAAGAACGCTTAGCCTGGGACACCCTGTAAAAATATAGAATACCCGGAAAGAACCTGATAACCACCAGCCGTCCAGTGCTTTCCTATAAAATCACTAAAAAATGGCACCTTAATCTTAACCTTTCCTATAACTTTTCTATTTAACATTTTAAATAGTAGTGGGAACTATCGAATGAATACTATCGAAACATTCGATAGTTGCAATTCATTCGAATAATTCGATAGTTAGTAAGAAAACATTCGTTGAAAACTATTCGAATAAAAATTATCGAATAGATCCGTCATCTGCCTTGAAATATTGTATTCTAGTAATTCGGCACAAAAACCTTTCATTTATAAAATTCATTCATTTATAAAATTCATTTATTCGTCAGGATCGATTATAATAAAATATTAACTGAATTTTAGTTGTCGCCCGACGACGTAGGTTTCTTTCCGAGAAAACCGACAGCGGTCGGTGGCAATGCATGAAAGAAGCCGGCATCTTTGATTTTTTGCGGAGTCAGATATAGATAAGGACACATTATTTTTTTTATTAAGGTGCTAGTATTTACACAGAAAATACATTATGAAGGGCGCTGTTGCCATATTTTGGTATTAGTTGATATTAGCAAAGAATGGGCTTTAGTTAGTTAGGGATAGTATGTCTATATATTCTGCATTTTTTTTTATTAATATTCTGTCGTTACACTGCAATAATATTTGTTATTTTGGATGTAGGAAAATGATGTTTAATGTTTTTAAGCAAAGACTGGTTTAATAAATAATAATAACAGTAATAATTTGTTATACCTATTAACAATAAAATTTAAAATCATTCAATATAAATATTTTTTTTAAGTAGTAGCAAAATATAAACAACTAATTAGATGTCAAAATTATTTATATTAGATCCTATTTAAAAATAATATAGTCTCTAAATTTTTTGTGTGTGCAACGTTGGTTTATTAAATAATAATAATTACAGAACTAATTTGTTATATTAACAACAAATTTTAAAATCATGAAATATAAGTATCTATTAATTTTCTAAGCGTGCAGTGTAATGGAAGGAAAATATAAATAAAAAATTAGAAATCAAAATTATTTATATTAGGTGCTTTATATTACTATTTAAAAATTATATTTACTTTTACTGGCATTTACTTTAAAAAATAAATGAAATATTTCTGCAAACAACAAAAACAAACATGCAAAAAACTACATGTAAGAGAATTAGCATAAACAAAATACAAACATCGTTAACTTTTTTTTTAAAATTGGCACGTGTAAAACTTTTATTTTAACTTTCTCACCCCATAGTTTGAGTTCGATAACCCCCCCCCCCCATTTACTTAACCACATTACTTAAATATGATTATTAAGTTCAACTAATTCATATTATTAAAACATCTAAAATACAAATATGTATTTTTAAAATTAATTGTAAGTTCATCTCATCTCTCTTAAAAATAGCTACTTCTCAAAATTTCCCATTAAAAAATAGACCATATACCATATAAAATTAATTAATTGAAAGATCGGACTACGGAAAACCACACAAATTTTCGGAAACATTTTAACCACCTGCACATGACACAATCGTCAATATATAAAATTAAAAAATAACTACTATTTTAGTATTTTAACTATTTTAATAAACGCAAAAATAGCACAGTATTTATACGGCGAAGTTATAAAAATTTGGAAGAACTAATAATGCACTGACGCATACAAAAATCAAACGAATACTAAATTTCATTTATCAAAAGCATTCGATATTCGTGGCTCAACGATAACCATTTAGTCGCACGGCGAGGTTGTCACATATGATTTAGTATACAAATGAATGAATGATTTTATTCGAATAAAACCATTCGATAGTTGAAATCATTCATTCATTAACCATTCGATAGTCTAATTCATTTGATAGTTTCCATCGCTAATTTTAAAGTTCTCAAAACAAATGAAATAATGAACTTTGCTCTATCGTTTTCTCACAATATACAAAATTAGAATAACTGAATATTTTTTCATAATTAAGTATATCATGACACACACATTCCTAATAAAATATTATTTTCTTCCATATTATTTTCAGGTGAACGGATTTGCGTACGTTGCGAATCGGAAGCCCTGCACGAAGACCTCGGATGGAGGTGTCAAGGTCACGGCGTCGAAGGCAGAGTGACCCGATGGTCAGCCCTATCGGCACCCCACTGTCACGGTAAATGGTTGAGAGCGCAGCCGCAACAGGACGCAACCTGCGAAGCCCGGACCTGCAAGGCCCAGACGACGGCTTTCATCTTTGTCTAGATAAAATGCTGAAGATATAAGAAATGTGTTGAGGATTGATCAAGAAGATTTTGTACTAAATTAATAAATAACTTTTCATGCAAGCATGTCACAATAAATCAAAAATGTCAAAACAACTGACGTCCACAATTTTTATAAATAAATATTTTATGGGCGTTATTGAAATGTGTAGGTGGTAATAGGGAGATTTGGAACATATTAACGATTCTGTATACCTTATTTTATTTATCTTTTTTGTAGATAAAAATTCTTTAATCGTAATATTATTTTTCTTACAAAAAATACAGTAACAAAATTAATGTTCACTCATTTAATTCATTTAAATAAATAAAATTATTTATATACAGGATGTCCCAGAAATAAGTGCCAGTATTTTAACTGGTAGTATAGTTCAACCCCAGAAACACCCCTATGAGGTTTTTCTCGCGAAAAAAAATTGAAAGTTCAAAATTTTTTAAAAAAAAATTTGGATTTTTTTTTTAGTTTTTAGTTAAAAAACATAATTTCTTGATAATATGGCAACATAGGTATTAAATTAAATTTACAAAAAAGAAAATCCAGAAAATCTCCAGTGGTTCTCAAAATTTTAGCAAAAAATCATTTTTTTGGAAAATTTTCAAAGTAAAATAACTTCGTTATTTTGGAATTATTTGAAAAAGAAAATATGTATCTTTTATTGAAATCTACCACCCCTTATAATACTTGCACTTATTTCTGGGATACCCTGTATAGAGCAACCATGGAGCCACCCTCTTGTAGAATATTTTAAACAGAATAAAGAATACAAAAATCACTTTTTAATCAAGTTGTATCTTTTTTCGATGGTTTGTTTTTTGATGCATCTTCCTAACTTTATTTTTATTGGAGATATTCACTTTTAAAGAAGACATTAAAACCATGCATTTGCTTTTTTTATTAACACACCAATGAAATAGTGGGTATTGCTTTTTCAAAAGTTCAAAAGTTGATATCTACATGTTCAAAATTAACACAACTAAAGCCGATACATTTTTACATTTATGGACCTAAAACTATCTCTGCTTGAGTAATTGCCAACAAACAATAATAATATGTTGTTTCAATAACTACTCTAAAAGTGTGTTTATGAGGTCCAAAAGCAAAATGCTTTAAATGCTTATTTTTGCTTTAAATTGATACTGTCTTATTTAAATACGAATATTTGTCACAAAAATAAAGCTATTCAGACGAATCAAAGAAAAAACTATCACAAAATAACAACATTTTATTTCTCTTTGTATAATTGACAAGTGAGAACTTATTTTTCAATTTAAAAATAAGGCAAATTCAAATAATTTAGCTACACGTTGCTTAAAAAAGTATTAAAATCTGCCCACTGAAACAAAATATTATTGAACTTATGTTTAACATGTTTCAAAACTCCACTTTTTGATTTTTAAAATCTTTTCATTAATTAAAGATACTTAAACCTATTTTTAAAAAACTCTTAAGTAAAATCTATTAAAACCAACAACGTTATTTAATACAAACTCCATAACTATATATTTTAAGAGCTTAATAACTTAAACTTTGTTATTAGGATATTCGTTGGTTTAAAACAGTTAATCATGTTTGAACTCTGTTCTCATTATATTTTAATTTTTGAACTTTTGAGTATGGGTATTAGCAAAGTTTTAAATTTTCTCTACTGACAGGGCATTGAAATATGAATTAAACTTATAATTAATTTTAACAAAATTCTAAATATTTGTAAATCTCTAGAAAACAGTTGATTTAAAATTTACAAATATTGAACTTCATAAATTGATAAATGGTTTTGCACTAAAAATGTTAAAGATCGTAGAAAATTACATTCTGGAAAGAATATTATTTTCTATGAAACAAGAAGTGTCCGGATTTATGTCATATACTAACTACATATAGCACATATACCAATTTTGAAAAAAAAAACGATATATAACAAAATAGAAAATATAAGATAATACTTATAGCAAAATACAATTCCATCGAGAAAAAAAAACGGCGTCAGAGTTGGCTTCGAAACGGCGATCGCTGTCATTTTTTATGTCAAATTTGCTTTGTTCGAGTTTTTGTTATTACCTATTCTGATCCGTCCTAGAACTCTACAACGCTTGAGCAACACCGGCGCATATGAGCATGCGTATTACTGTTCTAGAACGGTTTACAATCGGAAATAAGAAAAACCCGAAGTAAGCTAATATAATATGTTGAGTAAAAGTCATCGATTGTTATTACCAACCATAGACTAATGTCATGTACTAGAGATAGATTGGACACTGATATAAAACAAATGGGTCCGTCATTTAGAGCCACCTGGTGAGCCGGAAGAAACTAATGGAGAATTTTGGCATAACATAATTTTAGCGTTCCGTTACTTATTAACGCTAACTAAAACGATAACGTTATTCAAGCGCAAAAGTATTCCTTGTAAAATATAACAAGAAAATGATGATCGACTGTAAATATCAAAATGTACAAACTAATAAAAACACAAATCACCGAACTTTCCGACAAATCAGGAATATCTAAATTAATAATTATTTAAATAATGATTTAAAAATAACTTGACGGATCATCAACATTTTCTGAACTAGACTAAAACTAAACCATCGACGGTAGTCAACATAGAGACTGTTATATTATCTTCATATATAAATTAGAAACCTGTACTTTATGTCTTTTGCGCCGTCTGGCGATGCGGAACAAACTAACTTTGTAGTTCTATAAAATGACCATTGAGTGTCTAGGCCCTGTTACCAACTCAATTTAACCCCCTTTTTTAGATCACACGGTACTTTTGATACAAAAAGAGTTACTACTTTTAGGGTTAAGTTAGGAAGCTAAGCTTCAACTTCGCCTTTTGTGATTTTTTTAAATTTCGCAATAAAGTCTTTATTATTATTATTATTATTATTATTAAAAACTTGAAAATAAACCTAAATATTATGACGAAATAGATATTTATTTTGATCTACTATGCGATAAACTACTAGATAACTATAATATCGAAAATAATAGGTTATAGGGTAAAGACTGATATCAGGTTAAAGCGATTATATTGAATAACATAAAACCAGCGCAACGTACATGATATTTCAGAATTAATACCAGCCTCGTCGTGTCTAAAATATACTTGCTAAACTATCTCCGTGGAGTTATTAGAGGAAGGGAACATATTTAGGTGAAATTTGAGGAAATCTCGTAACGATTAAAGTATACAAGTTGCTTGTTACACAGATGGGGGTTTAGTGTTATCACGTTAATTTTCTAACCAAAACTATATTGTTTTAGATAGTTTTAGTAGGATTTTGACTAGTTAATTTGACAAACTTATTGAGAATTCATATTACATGTCTTCTATACGTCAGTAAAGAGTTCATTCTTTAGCCCACGGCCACACAGATAGCGTTTTTAGCGTTGTCACAACCGTTTTAAGCGTTTTTTTTTTCTATTTAGTTTCTATCAAGATGTCAATTAGTAACGTCGCAAGCTCGTGGATTCCTGGCCCGTTCAACAATCAATCCTGTGAGAAAGAGATAGGCGAGATCGGCGCAATTAGCGTTGAAGAGACGAAGATATAAGATGTTGGGATTGAATTGTGGACGGGCCGGGGCATATATTCAGTGACAAACACAATCTACTGCTAGTGCCAGTGGTGTGTGTAAAAATAATAATTATTATTTGCCATTTACTTTACGAATTTTAGTTTATATGTGTATAGTTTTTTTATGTTGTAGTGTTGTGGTTACTTGTTATAATTATAATATAATATAATAAATAATTATAATTATATAATAAAATAGCAAATATTACTAGTTGCGAACGCAATTTTAGGACATGATTTATGAAACTTTTTCAAGTGAAACTTCTTTACGCATGCTGGGAGTAAAAATTCAAGGCCGTGACATACGAGCTAGCGAGACGGCCCTGACACACGAGCTACTTGTAACGAAACGTGTTAACGGTTTAGAAATACGTAGTGACGCGACGTGTATTTGTGAGCAGTCCACGTGATTATAAAAAATATTGATATTTTAATACAAATTTTGTAAAAGTAAATCCAATTACTATGTGTAAAAAACCATGTGTTACACGTAAAAAACTACTTTTATTTTTTTACGCGAATAAAACTGTTACACGTAAAAAACTATTTTTTACGCGTATAAAACTATTTGTTACTGGTAGAAAACTACTTTTACGCGTATAAAACTATTTGTTACAGGTAGAAAACTATTTCTTACGCGTATAAAACTATATGTTACCTGAAAAAATCTATTTGTTAGACGTAAAAAACTATTCTTTTACGCGTCAAAAAATTATTGTTTCTAAAAAAACTTTTTTACTCCAAAAAAAAATTTTTTTACGTGTAAAAAACTATTTGTTACACGTTAAAAACTATTTTTTACGCGTCAAAAACTTATTGTTTCTGGTAAAATACCTTTCTTACGCAAAAAAATATATTTTTTACGTGTAAAAAACTATTTGTTACACGTAAAAAAACTATTTTTTACGCGTCAAAAACTATTTGTTTCTGTTAAAAAAAAACCTTTTTTACGCAGAAAAAAACACTTTTTACTCATAAAAAACTATTTTTTACGCGTAAGAAAATATTCCTTTAATTTATTACTTTTTCAACATTTCAAACTACACTTTTTCAAACATTTCCTTCAAATTTTTGAATTTAATAGAATCTTCCTGATCAGTAGATGTTCTCTATAAAAATATGTTTAGATAATACTCTAAAATGAAAAAAATGCATACTATTTAATTTATTTTTATTGTATTAAATATAACGTCCGCTTATGACGGGGTATCATCTTAGAAATCGCTAAAGACGCTACAGAAAACAAACTGATTTGTTTTCATTTGTGTTTTTTGCGAGACACGCCGAACGCTACAGGCTTTTGGTGGGGCCACTCCTATATATAATCCTGTTATTTCGTTTTAGTCGCTAAAGACGCCTCACGCTAAAAACGCAAAAAAACGCTTTCTGTGTGGCCGTGGGCTTTTACTCATGCTTTCAGTGTCCACTCTTTCTCTTCAGTGTCTATTTTTTTATTGCAAAAACCTAAAAATAGCACTCGTAATGATCATCGTCTGTTATAATTTTTTGCTTTTTCATTTTTATTTTTTCAGATATGAAACGAGATGTTATGTTAGTATATGACCTAATTGAGGATTATATTCAATTATTTTCGGTAACTTCCTGTTTCAACTGAAAATATTACAACTTTTGATTTTTAAATGGTACCCACGGTATTTTTTACTTTATTCGATAGAAAATTAGAAAATATGATTTTCTGAATTGAATGACATCTCACA